AGCAGAGGTGCTTCCCACAGGAGGGGCCCTTCCAGCCCGGGGGTGGGTTTGGGGCAGGTAAGCGGGTCATGTTCTGGCCTCCCTGCTGGGGAGTGGACAGCAGGCCCTGGGACCGCTCCACTGCCCCCCAACCCTTAGGCGGCAGGGGGTCCGCCGGACCACACACACCTCTTGGTGGGAGGTGGCTCCTCATCCTCTGGCCCCATGAACCCAGGGGGGCCAGCGTCCTCCACCCCCAACCCTGCACCTATTTTTAGATCCCAGGCTGCTTCCTGAGATCCAGGGACCTGGAGAGTGGTTTCCGCTCCCTGGCTGAAGTGAGGGTCCCTGCTTCCCCCTGCATTTCCTTCCTGCCCAGAGCCCGCAGTTCTGCGCCCAGAGGCCATGACAGGGCAGTGCCCACCCCCTGGGATGACCTGAGCTGACCCTAGGTACCCTGGAGGAGTCTGGCCCTGTTCCCTGGTGGTGGGCAGAGAGCGAGGGCCAGCCTGTAGGGACCCCCATCCCTGCCCAGCCCCCACGGCAGTGCCAGGGCCTCCGCCTCCCCCACTGGGCCTGCGCATCCCACCCTACAGCAGCTGTGCGGCCTCTGCCCTCTGCCTGTCCCGGTGTCTCTGGGGCATTTCCTGCAACTGCTTCCTGCCTCTGGACTTCATGGCCGTCCTGGGAAGGCCTCTAGTCGCCAAGCCCAGAGGCATTTCTGTGTGTTGCCCCACTCGCACGTGCACCCTCGAGGTGGTGCGCCGGGGCCCTTGACGAGCCCCTTTCCTGGAGGAGCCGCCCTGACAGCATCACCTCTGAGAGCCCGACACTGGGGTCTGGGCTCCAGGCTCCAGACCAGCTGCTACTCAACAGGGGCTCATCGATGCAGAGGGCAAGGTGGCCTTGTTGCTGGGGGAGTCGGGGGGCAGGACCTGGGTGAGCACTTGGGTCAGCAGGTATGGGAGGCAGGCGGCTGCCCCCGAGAGGTGGGCCGCGCCTCTTGGCAGCTGAGGGCAGGACAGTGCTGTTCCCTCCTGCTGCCATTCAGCCACTTTGGAACTGGCAGGCGGGCTGGGCAGGAACCCAGTGTGCTTGGCAGCCCCACCATTCTTTATCAATTCCCAGAAAGGAGGAAGAAAGAAACAGAATCCTTCACAGGGTCCTGAACCTGTGGTGCTGTCTGCTGGTGCGGTCCCTCCCGTGACCCCCGCACCTTGGCGGATGCTGCAGGAGGTGGTGTGACCGTGCGTGTGGGGCTCTGCGGGGTCGGGAGAGAGGACTCGCCCTGCTGCCCTGCTAGTGACCTGCCCTCAGGCGCCAGGGGCGGAGGTGGGCCACTGGGTGTCCCTGCCGAGCCGTGCTCCCTGTCTGTCAGCTTCCATACCTTTGTGCACACGCATGGATGTGCAGAGATGCCCAGGTGGCCCGGAAACACACAGACGCATTCCCTGGGGTCCAGTCCCTCTGCCTGACCCTGAAGCCGCGCCCTGCTGCTGGCCACAGGAGGCCTGGCGAGCCCAGGGTCTGGTTCTTCACTGAGGTCTGTGGTTGGCACCAGCGTGGCAGCCTGGTCCTTGGGGACCCAGGAGAGACACTCACTCCCAACGGCCTTGCAGCTCAGAAGTTCAGATGTGTGGGGTGGGGTTTTTTTAATGACTTAGGCTTAACTTGACATACAGTGAACTGCCCATATTTCAAATGTACAACTTGATAAGTTCTGACATAAGGAGACACCTGTGAATTGCCATTGCCATCAGGATAGTGACATGTCCAGCCCCCCCAAAATTGTCCTTGGGGCTTTGTGACCCCCACCTTCCCCCTCTCTCGCACCCCAGGGCAGCTGCTGGTCTGTTTTCTGTCACTGTTCATAATTCGCATTTCTGGTGCTTTTATACAAGTGGAAAGGGAGCTGCACCCCCCCTTACCCGCTTCCTCCGCCTTCTGTCTTTGTTTTGGTCTGGCTCTTGTCATTCAGCATCATTACCTGAGGTTCACCCAGGCTGTGGCATCGGCAGTGTGCCTGTGTTCCCCCGGGTAGGACCCCGCTGCAGGGCTGGACTGGTCTGTTCTGGTTCATCCATCCATTCACCGTGGAAGTGGACATGGGCTGCCGCCAACGTGGCTGCTGGGAGCATGGGTGCACACGGGGCGTGGGCCCAGCTTTCAGGGCCCTGGGCAGGTGAGTCAGGTCTTGTGTCCAGGACACCACCTCCCTCAGCGCCATGCTGCGTCCGGCTGGCACCTGGCTCGGGGCCCTTCTCGTTCAGCCAGTGCGGCCATTGCAGGGCCACTGTGGTGGGTTTTATTTGCCCTTCCTGGCGGTGGGGGACGGCACCTCTGCACACTTATGCATTGCCACTCATAGATCCTTGAAGTCTCTGTTCAGATTTTTTGTCCATTTGTAAAGAATTGGGTTGTTTCCTTACTGTTGAGTTTTGAAAGTTCTTTATCAGTTGTGGTCGCCAGCCCCTCCTGACTGTTGGCAGGCCCTGTCCGTGGCTCTCTTGTGAGGAGCAGGCTGCTGGCAGACTCTGCTGCTGCAGGCACCCAGCCCTGCCCTTCCCGCCTCCTTCCCACAGCTGGGGTGGTCTGCCCCTCACTGCCACCGCTGCCTTCGTCTGCCCGCTACCACCCCGTGGGGCCTGGGCAGGGCAGGAATGAGCAGCCCGGGCAAGGTGGGGCCCACTCTCTGGGCCCTGTAGGCAGCACTGGCTTCCCCGAACCCCTCTGGAGGGCAGGCCTGGGGACTACGGGGAGTCTGAAGGCCCTTCCCAAACAGGGAGGGTGGCAGCTTTGCCTCCAGGCTCTTTAGCATCTGGGATCAGCACTGCCTCCATGGCACTTCTGGGGGGACTGCACGCCCCAGCTCCTGGGGTGAGGGGGCTGTGCAGGGAAAATGGGGATGGTCCCAGCCCAGCTGGGGGGCACAGGGCCAGCTGCATTCAGGCCAGGTGCCCCTCCACCGATAGGGACACTGGGGCTGAGTCAGGACTGTGGCCAGGTTGCTACAGCTCAGAGGGAGGCCCAGGACGGGGCTCCCCTGCCCCCACCCCTCTGTCCTGGAAACTCTCACAAAGCCGTTTCTGGACCACAGTTTCAAAACAGAACAAGTGACGTTTTTCAAGCCAGAATTACCATGGCAACCCTTGGCCTCCCCATGGCCTCCCCCCGAGCCACAGATGGCAGCCAGCTCCAGCTCTGGGGCGCCGCCGCCCTGCCCCCACCCTCCCTGCCTGCCCCTGGGCACGGCCTGTGGGCCCTGTGGCCCTCTCCTGGGTGTGATGGGATGCTGGGAGCCTGGAGCCCTGCCCTTTGAGGGGCACATGGGGACCTGAGTGCCACAGGAAGGGACCCTCAGCCAGCAGGTGCACAGTAGGCCCTGGACATCCTGCCACACACTTGCTTGGGGACAGGGACGGGCTTCAGCACCTCGGCCTCGCCCCTCCCCCACCAGACTACAAAAGTGGGCTGAAACTCTGGGAGACGCAGCTGAGAAACTGCAGCTGGAGCAGGGGCGGGGGGAGAGGGTGCCAGCGTCCTGCTCTGGGGGGACGCGCCGACAGCATTCCCTCGGGGTGGGAGGCGCCTGCTGCTGGGCACCGGCCATCCCCGTCAGCCTGTTGGCCAAGCCCAGTGTAAAGGGCCCGGGGCCAGGGCCCTGGCGTCGGGGCCTGGGGAGGCCCCGCTGCTGCTGGCGCTCTCCTCGGGGAGCCCGTGTGCCGGGCCTGGGGTCTCAAACACTACTGTACACGTCCCCCCGGCCACTGTCCAGGGGCCCCGCTCAGGCACTAGACTGGCCAGGTGGTTTGCTTGGGGTCCATTTTTCGGTTTTCCCCCCTGTTGGCCGTGTGCCCTGGGGCTGTGTGTGGCCGCTGCTGTGGGAAGGCCTCGGCTGCCAGCAGGTGGCGGGGAGGAGGAGGCCAGGAGCTGATGAGGCAGAGCCAGACCCTCCCGCCAGAACGGGCACTCGTAGGCTAGGAGCAGATTTCCTCCTCGGTGGGGCATCCAGGACTGGGCCCGCCCCAGGAGGAGGCTGGCGTGTGGAGGGCAGCCTGGCACTTGCCTGAGGAGGTCAGATGCTTGGGCATAGGCTGGGCCTGGCCTGTGCTAGGCTTCTGGTCAAGGGCAGACCCCAGCCTCCGTAGTCGTCTGCCGAGGACCTCCCTCAGCCAGGAGCCCCTGTCCCTCGTGCCAGGCTCAGCAGGCCCCTTCCCCGCCCCCGCTGCCCAGGTCAGCTGCCCTCCCCGGGCTTATCTGGAGAGTACCACATGCCTCCCGGCCTCACACAGCTTCCCTTTCTGGGGCTGATGGCAGGGATTTATCCACAAGTGGCCGGCCCCTCACCGCTGGGGCTTCCTGGATACCACAGCCCAACCACCGCCCCTTCCTATAATTTCTCCGTCAGCCCCGCCAGGGTCCCAGTGGCCTCAGTCCCCGCCTCTCCCCAAGGACTTACGTGAGTGCCCTCGTGGGGTCCCAGATGGGCTCAGGACCGCTGGGCCGCGCCACCCCCTTGGGGGAAGGCCCAGCGTTCTCTGGGGTGCTCAGGGTCCGGCGTGGCCTCTGGCCAGATGTGGTAAACAAAAGTGCAGGACATCAGGTAAACTCAAGCTCTGGGTAAACAGTAAATACTTTTTTGGGGCAAGTATGTCTTGGGACACACTTATCTGAAGAAGTTATTTGCTGATAATCTGAAATGCAAATTTTATGTGGAGTCCTGCATCTTATCTGGCCACCTGTCCTGGAGTCCCCACAGTAATGCTGGTGGGGAGGGTTGGGGGCTGGCCACGTGACCCCCCCCCAAACCCCCACCTCCCTGGGGCCTCTCAGAAACCAGGCTGGCAAAGCAGACATCTGGAGCCGTTGGGCAGCACCACCTGGAGACTGAAGTCCCCGAACCTCTGACCCAGTGGAGAGGGTCAGGCGCCCACCTCGCTCGCTCTCCGGGTGTTCAGTGTGGTGTGGTTCACGTGCACCACCGCAGTACTCTGGGTAACCCTTGGCTGTTTTTCCCCCAGCTGGCGGGAGGTGTGATCCTGGGCGTGGCTCTGTGGCTCCGCCATGACCCACAGACCACCAACCTCCTCTATCTGGAGCTCGGAGATAGGCCTGCACCTAACACCTTCTACATAGGTGAGTGCACATGGGGTAGGCCAAGGACCCCACCTGGCTCTGGGCTGGGGGACCAGCCAGGATGGCCCATCAAGGTGTCTGATTATGAGCCCTGGGAGGCCACAGACAGGCAGTCAGGGAGGGCTTCCAGGAGGAGGCAGGGCCTGAGTTGACTAGGTGGGGCTTGGGGCTTGCTGCTGGCTGGGGCAGAGAGGAGGCCAGCCAGGAAGGGCCCTTGGGAAAGACAGTGAAACAGCCAGAGTGGCAGGGTAGGTTAGCCTGGGGGCCTTGAGGCCCCAGTGAGATGTCGGTCGGGGGACCTCCTCCTCAGGTGGTCCAGCATCTGGCTGGTTTGGGGTGCTTGGGGCAGCAGCCAGGCTCCTGGGGAAAGCTGGAATTGAAGGGGCTTGTGGCATGTTGGCTCTGCCAGGTCCTCTCTGAGGGCTGAAGCAGGGCAGGAGGGTGGCGGCTGGGTAGGGGTGAGAAGCGGTGTCCCGTGGTGGGTATTTAGGGGGAGGTTCCCTGGGAAGGGGTGGGGCTGAGGTGCCTGGAGCCCCAGTAGAGGGCAGGGGCCTGTGTGATGCTGGCCGCCTGCCTGGCAGCCATGCCTTGTTGCCTTATTAGGCTACAAGTCTGCCTCCCAGGCAGCAGCTGAGGCCTCCTTGGGCATCTGTCAGGTGCCAGGTGGGCCACCCACCCCCACTCCCAGGGACAGGGGTGACCTGCTATGCGGAGTAGCACCCAGCCAACAGTGGCAGGCCTGGCCCTTGTGGAAGGCTGTGCTAGCTGGGATGTTTCTGTCCTTTAAAGGAGTTGTCCCTGGGCTGGCCCCTTTTGTCCCCATCTAGCAGAGCAGGGCAGGGCTCTGGGCTCTGGTGCAGGCAGCTGCTGCCCCAGGCCCTGCAGGTCCCCTGGCTGTGGGGCGCCCGGAGGGGTCTGGTCTCTCCCAGCTGCCACTCATGCTTCCACACATGTAGCAGCCGAGGCAGGGATGTGGGGCACACTTGCCACCCCACCGGGCATTCTGGGGCCATGAGATCCTCTGCAGATTGTGAGGTAGCGAGGGCTGGGTTACAGGGTGCATGAATGGGGAGGGAGGGCCCCTCACTTCCCCGGAGACAGCAGCCCATGGCCCCAGCAGTGGTTTCCTGGGCCAGCCATCCCTGGGGAAGGTCCCAAGCCCCTGTCCGCCTGAGGGCACACATGCCAGGCATCCTCAGCAGCCACAGCGGTCGGCTTTGCCCATGTGTCTGAGGGCTCAGGAGTGCCCCCGAGCTCTTAGGGATGGACACCTCTCTAGGTGCTGGGGCAGCCTGACCCAGCCTGCCAACTGGAGCTGCATGGGGGCAGGGCCTGCCACCCCCAGACCTGGGCTTCAACTGTGCCCCCCATGGGTGGGGACTGCTCAAAGCCATGTCCTGCCCACCCAAGGCCAGCCTTCTGGAGCCTCTCACTGGCCCGGATGCAGTCTGGACTGCCTGGGAGGCTGGGGAACAGATGTGGGTCCTGGCGAGGGCTCTCTGTCCCATGCTGGGAAGCAGGGTCAGGCTAGCTGGGCTCACTCCGCACCCTGGACGACGCTGCAGGGCCCAGGGGAGCTCCCACCCCCTCGCCTGTCAGAGCCAGGCCCCGCAGGGGCCCAGCCTGCAGGGAGGGTTGTAGGTCAGGCAGGCCATCTTGGTGACTCTCAGTAACTGCACGTCACCTCTTGGATGGAGGCATCAGAGCTTGAGGGGTGGGAGACCCGGCCCAGGGGTGCTGAGACCTCTGAGCAGGGAGCCCTCTGAGGGCAGCTTCACCCAGCCAGGTCCACTGGGTGTTGCCCAGAGGTTTGGTCCAGCTGCGAGGAGGCTCTGAGCCTGGCAGTGGGTCCTGGACCCCAAGCTCCTCCTGCCCAGGGCCAGCCAGGCACCAGAGCCCTAGGAGGGGGCTGAGGCTGCCCGCAGTGTTACTGTGGCCACTGTGGGATGGGCCCAGGTCTGCAGGGAGGACTAGGGGCGAGGGCTGCCCAGGGCCAGCCAGGCAGCAGAGCCCTAGGAGGCGGCTGGGGCTGCCCGCAGTGTTACTGTGGCCACTGTGGGATGGGCCCAGGTCTGCAGGGAGGACTAGGGGCGAGGGCAGCCCCTGGGGGGAAATGGTCAGCACTTCCCAGGGGCACAGGCCATGTCTGGGCAGGCTGTGGACGCCAAGGAGGCCAGCCTGGCTGGGCTCTAGCCCCAGGTCCCCTCCAAGCCCGCTTTTGGCAGCCCTTCCCGCGTCCCCAGGACTGTGTGTGCAGCCCAGTGGGCAGCCTGTGTGCCGTGCTCGAGCTGTCCCTCCTCCTGCCGCCACTCACCCCACCTGTCAGCAGGGCCTCCCCTGCCCGGCTGCCAGGCCACCCCGTCCAGCAGGCGTCAGTCCTGCAGGGTCAGGCCTCAGAAGCCCGTTCGGCCCACTCTTCTAGCTGGAAGAGCCATGCCGAGCAGCCAGATTTGACCCCAGCCTCAGTGGGGGCAACTGAGGTGGGCACAGCTGTGCAGCTGACAGGAGAGTGGCAGAGGCACCACCAGGTCCTTGGGTTGCTTCCTCCAGCCCACCCCCCAGGTCAATAGCTGGGCCCTCTGCACGAAGATGGGTGACCTTTGGAGGCCCCACCAATTCCTGGAGGCTTGTAGGAACCAGAGGGGGTGCAGATCGTTGGGCTGTGTCACACCCCCACGTTGTAGAGGAGGACGCTGTAGTGCTGAGGGCCGCTTTGGGGGGCTTGGTGCTCTCCAAGTTCCTCTCCAAAGTGTTGGGTGTTTGGCCTCTTGTGGTGGCCCAAGGCCTGGGCAGTGGTATGTGTGCACATGGCCGGGGAGGTCTGGGGTGGTGGGCTGTCGGGCCCAAAGCGTCCGGATGTCTGGGCGCCGGGGTGTCCGCCCCTCCTCCTGGGATGTCAGAGGCCCTGGTGTGTCTGTCCTTCCTGCCCTGCAGGCATCTACATCCTCATTGCCGTGGGTGCTGTGATGATGTTTGTCGGCTTCCTTGGCTGCTATGGGGCCATCCAGGAGTCCCAGTGCCTGCTGGGGACGGTAAGGCCCCGGGTCGGGGTGGGGGCCACTTGGCCAGCAAGGAGGGGCAGAGCCTTGGGCTCTGCTGGAGGCCGAGAGTTCAGCCTGGGTGGGAGAGGGGTCACGGGTGGCCTGGGGCCCCCCTGGCACTGCCTCACCATTGTCCCATTGAAGTCCCACTGCAGCTGATTGCTGTTGTGTTGATTCCTGGCTCAAAGTTCAAAAATTGCCATTTTTCTTTTTAAAAGAACCACAGATCTAATAGGGAGTGAGTCCCTGTCCCAAGCCAACCTCAGGTGCCCTGCTGATGGGCAGCTGCAGCCTGGCAGTGGGTCCGGGGCCTGGCCAGCCTGGGGGGTGGGCTGTGTGCACCTATGCCAGTGTCTCCAGTTGGGGAGACCCGCTCTGGCCTTCTTCCCACATGGGGAGGGAGAGAGGGGGCAGGAGGGGGGACCCGGGGCCTGGACCCTCCTGGCGGCCGAGCCACCCTGCACTTCCCAGCCCCAATGAGCCCCCTGCCCTCATCCTCCCCTTCAGCCACCCGTGCTCCAGGGCCTTCTGGGGATGATGACAGACAGTGCGGCATCTCCCTGTCAGGCCAAGTCTTAGCCCTGGCCCACGTGGCTCATCCCCAGCCACTGCCTGCCCTCTGTGCACACGCATGGCCCCCTGGGCATGTCTTCGGTGGAAGGCGAGGCTGGAGCTGCTCTGGGGCCCGGGAAGCCTGCTCTGACCTTGTCTTTCTCCGCCCTCCCTCCCGGCCCTGTATTGCCTTCCCAGTTCTTCACCTGCCTGGTGATCCTCTTTGCCTGTGAAGTGGCCGCTGGGATCTGGGGCTTTGTCAACAAGGACCAGGTGAGTCTGCATCTACGGGATGGGGTGGCAGGCTCCCCCCCAGGGGGGCAGGTAGGAGCACCTGCTGTTCAGCTTGTGGGAGAGCGTGGATCCTACCTATGGATTATGCAGTGCTCTTTGGGGCTTCTCCTGGGGCCCACCTGCTAGGAAGGCCACAGAAGGCTTCCTGGAGGAGGCTGCCTGGGGACCAAGCAGAAGGCAGAGTTGTCAGTCTCCCAGCCTTGGGGACAGCTGGGTCAGTCCTGGAATAGTACTTTCCTGGGAGAGCCGGGTGGAGTGTCCCCCAGAGGACAGTGCCCCATGCTCAGTACGCGTGCTGTGCCGGTCCCCCAGATCGCCAAGGACGTGAAGCAGTTTTACGACCAGGCCCTGCAGCAGGCTGTGGTGGACGATGAAGCCAAAAACGCCAAGGCCGTGGTGAAGACCTTCCACGAGACGGTGCGAGGGGGGGCTGGGCGGATCCAGGGGGCCCGAGGGGCTGGGGGTGTTTTTCTCTGGTGGGGCCCAGCTGGGCCTGAGTCTAGCCTTGGCCCAGATCTTGAGGGCAGGGGGGGCACTTGGGACCCAGGGTTCCTCAGTGCCAGATGGGCCAGGCCAGATGAGGTGCAGGGGTTTCTGAGCATCAGAGCTGGGTGGGAAGGTAAGGTAGGGGCCCTGGGCTCAGTTCTCCCCCTGGAGAGAGCCATCTTGGCCCCCGTGCCAGCCAGGGCAGCTGCAGGGACCTCTGTACTAGCCTATGGGATGCTGACCGCACGTGCCCTTGGTCTCTGCAGCTCAACTGCTGTGGCTCCAACGCACTGTCCACACTGACCACCTCCATGCTCAAAAACAACCTGTGTCCTTCTGGCAGCAGCGTCATCAGCAACTTACTCAAGGTACATGGTGCAGTGTGCAGGCCTCCTGGGCTGGGGTGGGGCCCGGGTGGTGGGTGGGCCACCTGGGGACTATGGCTGGCACCGTGTGTGGGTGGAGGGGGTGCTGGGCCAAGGCCACTTGTTTGTGGATGGACCACAGGGGTGGCATCCAGGTTCCTGAGCGGGAAGCTCTCCGCGTCTGGGAGCTGTGCACACCCCAAGAGTGTGTGTGGAGGCTGTCCTGTTCTCCTGCTCAGCCCCCTCTGCTCCCACATTTGTTTTAAAACTGATGTAAGATCCAACCTGGCAGAGGCTGGGCCTGTCCACGCCCCCTCTGGGTGGGCTGGTGCTCCCCCCCCCCCCACTGCCCACCTGCCATGATCTTTCTGCACCACTGGCTGCTGTATTGCGGGAGCCTAAGCACTGGTGCCCCCCAACAGGAAGACTGTCACCAGAAGATTGATGAGCTCTTCTCGGGGAAGCTGTACCTCATCGGCATTGCAGCTATTGTGGTCGCTGTGATCATGGTGAGCTGGTGGGCAGGGTGTCTGTGGGGTCCCCATGGGTCTCCGGGTGCTGACCGGCCCACCCACCCCCTCCCACAGATCTTCGAGATGATCCTGAGCATGGTGCTTTGCTGTGGCATCCGGAACAGTTCCGTGTACTGAGGCTCTGGCTACCTGGGCCGAGGGGGGCCAGTGAGACCTGTGTGCCCCAAGCACAACCTGGACACTTCTGCAGAGGGGCCGTCTCCACCCGTGTATATAACTTTCCAGTATTACTCTGCTATGCCTATTAGCCTTTTTACTTTTGAGGTTTTCTTTTTGTCCTGAAGTTCCCTTTCACCTTTTGGGACATCACCTGGAGTGTGAGTAGGCCTTGGGGACTGCAGGGCAGGGGCCACCCACTGCCCTGGGGTCATAGGGGGCTCCGCTTGCTCAGCCAGGCCCCTTGTGGGGGCCTGGGGCCCTTTGGCCAAGCTGTCCTCCCACCCTGCCATCCGTGGGCTGTACCATTCACGCCCTGTTTAACCCTTGCTCCTGTCCCACCACCTGTCTTTAGAGCCGGGTCTACGATCAGCCTTATGTCTTCAATGCACCTCTCCTTTCTAACTCGTCACCTTCAACTGTAATTACATCTTGAAAGTCATTCAATAAAGAGGGAAAAAAACAGGCATGTTAACAAACTGTCCGCCCCCTTCCTGTGCTCCTGGGCCTGAGACCCAGGGGACAGCTGGTGGGGTTCAGCTCTGTGGACCTTGCCCAGCCCAGGGTGTGCTGCACCCGCTGGGGTGATGGGGCCCCCTTGCTGGGCCCTGGGCCCCCTGCAGGGACCCAGACCCGGCCTCCCTCCCAAACCTACTGCTCTGCACCACCCAGACTGGGGCAGCCCCTGCACCTGGAGCAGGATGTGCTTGAGGCAGAGGGCCTCCGAGATACCCCGTCCTCCTCAGGGGCAGCTCCATCAAGATGGACCCAATGCCTCCTCCAGAGTGGCTGAGGGTCTCCTCCCTGCCTGCCTGGGTGCTTGTAAATGTTCCCTGGATATTGGTGTCTCAGGGCCTGAGCTGCATCGTGCAGCCCACCACGCTTCACTGGGGCGCAGCCACTTCTTGTATGTTGAACTGACCCCTTGAGGCCACCAAGGCCTGGCTGCGATTCGTTTGTGGGCTCCCAGCGGCCTCCTCGGGGGCTGATTTTGGAAACAGCGCAGCCCCTGCTTTGTCGGGGTTGGGGCGCGGGTGGTCTCGGCAGACCCGCCCCTCCTGCCGCAATCCTCTGCCAAGTGTGCCAGGTCGGTCCAAGGAGACCCTCTTTACTTGCCGCCGTGCTACGCGGCCTCGGGGGTCGCCGGCCAAGGCCTGGGTGTCCCCTCTGCAGTGGCGATGGGCCACGGGATACCACGCTGTTAGTGATTGGGATGGGCTGGACAGCACGGCCGGGCCCCCTGTCCCTGTCGGGTCTCTGCGCTGGGCCACGGCAGGGTCCGAGACGTCTGGACTCCGTAGGTGGGAATGGGTCACCAGCCATGGGGACTGGGTCTACACAGCAGCCGCCGACTAACAGGAACCACCACGGGCGCGGCCGGCCGCTTCCGGCCAGGGCCGGAAGTGATCGGAACGCAGTCGCGGAAGCCACTCTTGAAACGCACTTCCGGTCAGAGGCGGCCGCTCTCCTTGCGGCTTCCGGAAGGTGGCGCTGGGGCAGCGGGAGCGCGGCGCTGACTGTTAGTCCTTGAGCATTCTGGGACTCCCAGAATGCCTTCTCCCGCCCACCTCCTCTCTTCATTCAGTTCCGGGCTCTCTTCGAGAAGAAGCCCCACAGCTTCCGGGGAGGGGCTAAGGGGAGACGCTTAGACGCATGCGCAAAGCGCACGCGTCCCGACAGTACCCGGGAGTGGCGGCCAAGTCCCTTTTGGGAGATGTAGTTCCTCAAACGCGGTCGCCTCTTCTGTCGACCTGCGGACTCGATTTCCCAGAGGGCCGAGTGCGGCGCAAGATGGAGGTGGCAGGCCTGCTGAGATCTGGTAGGTAGGTGGTGAGGCAGGACTGTGCTGCTGGCCGCTCGGGCCTCGCAGTGGCCGCTGGCCGCAGTCCGCTCCCCAGAGTCCGGGCACCCCGACGTACTCCGTGCCCTCACCCTTCGCGGACTGGCCCTTGGGACCCCGAGCCTTCTTTAGGCCCGCGTCCGGGCACACAGAGCGGAGAAAGTCGAGGCTGGGCCCCAAGGGCAGAGGGGATCTGCCCTGCCCATATCCCAGGCCTCAGATCCCCGCACCCGAGCCCAGCTCCTCAGCCCGGTCTCCGCTCTGCCCTCCACTGAGCTCACGAAGTTCTCAGAGAGCTCCACGAAACAGACTCCTGGATCCCGTCTTGGGGCCCGATCCCCGTCTCCCGCCGGAGTGCCCCCCCTGATAAAGCTCCTTCTCTTAGTCGCGGTGACGTCCCCGGCCGTGCATAGGAGACGAATTTGGTAAGCAGGAGTCCAGTTAGAAATCCAGTCTTGCCTGCAAACATCCTGAGTGACGGGCAGATGATCCCCCCTCTCTGGCCTTGCCAGCTCTAGTGGGGTGTGCGTTGTATCGCCTTTCTCTCCTGGAGTTGTCACTCCGTTTCGGGAGTCATGCCCCTGAGGATTGGACATCCCACCTGTGTTTGACTTGGTGCAAGGTGCTCAGAGCCACTGCTCGTGCACCTGGCCTTGTCTTTGGTGGGTGCAGAAGCAGTGGGTCACCCTGAGTGAGGGAGGCTTGGCGGGGAGGAGCTAGTGGGTGGATGGGTGAGTCTGGGCAACCCTCTGAGCCTGGAAAAGGAAGCAGCGAGGTGCCTGGTCACACGTGGCCGCTAACCTGATGTCGGCAGTACCTCTCCACTCAGTTGAGAAAGGTGAGGGGTGTGCAGAGGGGGACAGGAGAAATGTCACTGGAGGCTGCTCCAGGAGCAGCGGGGCTTGCCTCTGCTCAGCAGGGCTGCTCCAGGTGGTTAGTGATACCCCAGCTTCCTGCAAGCTTGTGCTCAGGTGCCAAGGACTTTGCTGCAGATCCCACTCATGCTCCCAGGGCATCTCCTAGCAACCAAGAGCAAATCTTGCCCGGGCAAGTCAGGTGTTCCACCTATTAGAGTGCTTACTTTGTGCCTCCTGCCGCCCTAAGCAGTGTAGGAACCAGCCCTGGCCACCTGCTTCCCAGAATCCCCACCCCACCCTTACCAACAAGCCTCTTAGACGCTTATTCAGACTAACCTGAGAAGATCGAATGAGGTGACATTGTCAAAAGGACCTGCTCCCAAGCCTGGCCTGTGTGGGGGCTCAGTAAACCTAGCCCCACTCCCTGGGGTCGTGGACCTCTTCCTGTTTGCTGTCTAGTCTAATGGCCGACCCTTCCTCCCCACCCTCAGCCACCTACAGATGAGCTGCCGAGCAGAGCTGTGCTGGCCACAGTCCTGGGACTGGCACCACTGAGGACCCTAGCTGTGATTTGCCCACCCACGCCCCAGGTAGGTGAGACAGAGACTGGCGGAGAGGGCGGGGGGTCGATGAGCCCTGTCCTTTGCTTTATCGGACCCAGCTCTCTCTGCGATCCTGCCACCTGTCCAGGGGCAGGGGGTCTACAGGAGGGACTTGGTTAAACGCCTGTTGTTCTTAGAAACAAACCTCCAGGGCTGTTTTGGTCTAGGTGGAGCGTTGCCTGGGGACACATGGCTGAGGCGGGGGCAGGCGAGCATCCCCCTGGCTTGGAGGTCGAGCAGGGAACAGAGTGTGACCCCCTGGCTTCCGACACCATCTCTCTCAGCGACACGGACTCCGACCTCAGCCTGCCTGGTGGTGCTGAGGTGGAAGCTCTGTCCCCTGAGGGGCTTTCTGGGGAGGCCCAGTGGGACTCAGGCCCTGATGAGCCCCTCTTGCCGCCAGAGGGCCTGCCCACAGCTGCCGTGCAGCCATTCCATCTTCGAGGCACAAATCCTACATTCTCCCAGCGCAGCCACAACATCTTTGACTGCTTGGAGGGGGCAGTCAGGCGGGCTTCACCCTCTGTGTCCCACTCCAGCCTGGGTGACAGTGGGGGCTTTAAGCGGCCACTGGTGCCCTCAAGCCAGCCTCTAGCGGGGGGCCAGGCTAGGGGCAGTCAGAGTCCTGCCTCCCTGAGGGTGCCCCCCGTCCCTGACTATGTGGCCCACCCTGAGCGCTGGACCAAATACAGCCTGGGAAATGTGCCTGAGGCCAGCGAGCAGAGCAACAGGGCTACTGCCCTGGCCTTTCTGAGCCCCCGGGGTCTGGCCGCCCCCAGTGACTGCACGCCCTCCTTCAACCAGAACCCCTCCAGCTGCGGGGAGGGGAGAGTCGTCTTCACCAGGCCGGCCCGAGCCAGCGGGGCCAGGCCCGAGAGGAAGAGAGCCCCAAGGAGGGTGGGAGAGCCAGGCCTGGGCGCCCCTGGGGACCAGGAGGTAGTGGAGGCCGAGGGTCCCGCGGAGCCGGCCCGCCCGGCCGGGCCCGGGCGCTCAGAGGCTGAGGAGGGGGCCGCCCACACCGGGCCAGCAGCGAGCCCCCCAGCGGTGGAGACTGTCGGCTTCCGAGGCAGCAAGAGGAGGAGGACAGGCCACTTCCGGCGCGGGAGCAGCGCACCGGCGGCCCCCGGGGCGGGGGTCTGAGGCGGGGCTGCCCGCCGGCCTTCCGGGCCGGGGCCACTGCGCATCTGCCTTGGGAAAGGAGCCCGCGGGCTGCCCGTCGGTGGAGCAGAGACCTGGCCGGGGTGGGGCTGCCCGTCGGTGGAGCCAGTGACCTGGCCGGCGTGGGGCTGCCCGTCGGTGGAGCAGAGACCTGGCCCGCCAGGCGCTTGTGGGGTGACAGTAAAGGCCTTGAGTGTTCCTCCGGCTCTGTGCGTCTGTGTAGAAGCCCTGCCCGCAGAACCAGTGTGCTGAGGCCTCTGCTCCAGCCGACCCGGCCCCTCCCGGCCCTGCGTCTGCGCGTCACTGAGTTGCGGAGGGTCTTTAAACAGATGCCTGTGCTCAGCAGCAGCAGATCCGGAGGGTCTGAGGGGACCCCTGCCCCAGTCTCGAGCAGGAGGTAGAGATGGCCCCATGCTCCCCCAGCCTGTGCCCCTGAAGGGCCGGGGTGGGGCAGACAGCTCCTGGGAAGCCTGTAGACCACAGGCCTGCGGACAAGAGGGCTTCACAAAGTGGGTCCACAGAGGCCCGAGCGCAGCGGGGCCTGCTGGGGCGCGCCCTCCCCTGGGCCCTGTGACGCCCGCTGTCCTGCTTCCCCAGGACTGGCGAGCCATGTGGAGGGGCGCCGCTGGTGAGGCCAGGCCGAATGGCTGGGGAAGGTAGACAGTCCCCTGTGACTAGTGGCAGGATGGGGGGGTCAGCCAGCCTGCTGTGCTGCTGACCATCTGGGCCCAGGCCTGGCTCTGCCGCCCCAAGGGAAGGAGGTACTGGCTGGCTGGGGGAGCACAGGAGCCTGGATCCCACCCCCACGGGGCGGGCAGGCCCTGTCCCCGCCCAACGTGCCTCACAGGCTCCATCGGAGGTACGGCAGCTTGGGGGCAGAGGAAGGTGCTCTGGGGCCACTGCCCGGGTCGGACAGTGTGGCCTTCAGTGTACGGGGGTGCTGCTGGGGGACACACGGGGGCGGGAGAAACACAGGCAGTGCACGCCGGCCCTGGGTCTTAAAGGGCAGAAATTGTAACCACTCACTTCAAAACAGATCAGTCTCTTAGGCAGCACAGGCCCAGCAGGGGACAGGGACGGGCCCTAAGACTGCTGCCCGCAGATGGGCGGTGCCCGGACCAGGCGCTCAGGGAGTGCTGGCCGCGCAGTCCTGGCTGAGGCCCCGGGGGAGGGGGCCCACGGCGAGCTGCTCCACTCCCAGGCCTGGGCAGTGCCAGCAGGGCAGGGACTGGTTTCTTTTGACACGGTCACAGGAGCCACCAGAGGTTGGGATAATTTGCTGTGGGGCCCAGGGCGAGCAGCTAAGGGCCATCCCCCACCTCACCACCCCGATCTGGGCCTGGGGCTCTGGGAGAGGTGGGCCCCGCAGGCTGACAGTCTGGGTGGCCTAGGTGTCCAAGGGCAGCTGGCCAGCCTCTTCGTTCTCCTTGCTGTCCAGGCCCCCTCCGTGGTCAGCAGAGGCTCTCAGGTCCCCACCACCAAAGTTCCAAGAGTCTGGGGGGAAGGGAGACCCTCCTCAGCTGCTGGGGGCCTAGCAGGCCGGCCCGGGGCAGGGAGAGGTATGCCGCCCAGACGTGAGCATGGGCACGGTGGCCTTGGGTGGAGGGGGGATGCGGGGGCGGCAGCCCAGTAGAGTTTGAGTGCTCATGCTCACACCAGCCGGGTCCGTGGGCTTCATTAGAGGGCACCTGCCCCTCCCTGAGGACCGAGGACAGGTGGGAAGCAGAGGCCCAGGGCAAGGCTGCCCCCAGGTCAGCTGGCTGGCAGTGAGCTTACCCGTGCCCACCCATTGCCTCCACCCTCCCCAGACGCACACTCACTCCAGTAGGCGCTGCCCTGGGCCAGTGTGTCTGCCATGGAGGTCAAGAGCACCGTGCAGTAGTCGATCTGCAAGTGGCAGGCACTTGGGGCAACAGGGCGCAGACACACCTCCCCTGACTGGGCCCCTGCTGCTCCTCCACCATCCCTCCTGGGGGCTGTACTCAAGGGGCGGGAGGGTGACCAGGTTCCAGTTGTGTGTGGCGAGGATGGTGAGGGGCCTTAGTGCGGGACCCCCTCTTGGAGGGTGTGGGGTCTGCCTCGGGTGCTTGGGTGGGGGACAGGCACAGGTACTGAGCCCCCCGGGTCTTCCCCCGCTGTGCCCTGCTGCTGAGCCCGAGCCTGGGTGCAGGCCGACTGTGTGTTGGGGCATGTGGCTGTGGGCCAGGGCCCCCCATGTCCCACCCCAGGTCTCCAGCCAGGAGAGAAGAGCCCTGGTCGCTGGCCTACCTGGGATTCCAGGCGCTCCACCCGCCTCTCGTGCTCTCGTAGCCCCCCGAGGTACTTGGCGATGAAGCCCACCCTGCGGAAAGTTGGGAGCAGCAGGCTGCTGAGAGCCCCGGGGTACTCCGCATCCAGGGAGTTTCCCCCCACCCTCACCCGGGCCCCTAGGGGAGGGGTTTGGGGTCACTGAGGCTGATGGGGGCCTGAGTCCAGAGTCCGATACCCTTTCCCTCGCCCCTGGACACGTGTACAGAGAGGTTTCGTGCCTTCCAGCCAGAGGCAGGGTGCAGGTAAGGGCTGTCCCCACCCTTGGGCAGGCAGGGACCTTGGGCCTGAATAAGGGCTGGGGCCTGAGAGGAGGGAGGAAGGGGAGATCCACTCTAGAGACCCCAGAACAGGGAGGACACCGTGAGTATTGGCCCCCAGCCCCCGAGTGCAGGGTGGGCAAGGCCCCAGCAGAGCCCGGTCGGGGCAGGAGGCCTGGTGCTGTCCCTGCCCTCCCAGCCTGCTTCCTCAGCTCAGATCCTGACTCGCACAAGATGGCCACACCCAGCGTTAAGGCGGCCAGACGCCCCGCGGTGGTAATGCCAGGTCCCAGGGAGGTCTTGGGGGGCCCTGCCTGGGCAGGTAGGTCACCAGCTCGGCCAGCCCCTCGGCACCCTGCAGGGGCACAGCCACCTGCCTCCAGGGAGGGGCCGCTGCACTCAGCCCTGGGGTCCTTGGAGGGGCCTGCAGACCCCGGCACCTGTGGGCGGTTTTCCGCAGCACTTCCTCCCCGCTGTCTTTCCTCTGCCTCTCCAGCTTGCCCAGGTAGTTCTCCTTCTGAACTGCCTCCCAGGTGACCATCTTCTGGTCCAAGGGTTCCGGCAGGTCTTTCTCTGCAGAGGTGAGGGCAGCTGGGGGGCTTGGCTGGGGCCAGGGGCGCCTCGGGGGCCCAGGGCAAGTGCAGTGGCGCCAGGACCCCTGCCCCCCAGCACCGCTGGTCCCTGCAGGGGTGCCCAGGCACAAGGTGGAGGAGCAGGGCCTTCTGGACTCTCAGCCTATGCCGCAACCCCTCTGGGCCTGTCCAGGCCTCGCCCTTCCCACCCGCCTGCTGCACTGCCTGTCCCTCAGGCTGGGCCCCCAGCATACGGTCCTGGGCCGCCAGGCCATGTCCAGCCCCGTGGTCTCACCCAGGCGTGCCTGCTTCTGCTTGGCCTCCTTCTGGAAGACCCTCTTGAGCACCAGGCTAAGGTGGCTGAGGAGGATGAAGGGGGGTGCCAGGGAGGGGCGCTCCTGGTACTCCACGATGAGGTGGTAGCGCTGGAACTTCCAGAACGTGTCGGCGTTGCCTTGCACCACCTGAAACGTGTAGCTGGGGCAGCCCGGGGCTCTCAGGACCCCCTGCTCTCCCCTCACCCGCTTCTCGCATCTCTTCCCATCCTGAGGGCAGCTGTAGCCCTTTCAGGAACGGAGAGCCTGCTCCCCCTTCTGTGATGGTCCCGGGTCATCGATTTCCCTCGGGTGTGTCTAGAGTGGGGTCTGCTCATCTGGGGTCTTCCACTACCCCTCAGCTCTTCTGGATCAGCCCGGGTTTCTGGACACACCCAGAGTCCCAGCGTCACAAACCCAGCCTGTTCCCTTGGGCGGGGGTGGGAGGGGTAGGGGGAGCACCAGGGGGAAACTCCTGGGGCAGTGGGCTTGGGAAAGCATCCCATGCCCCCAAACCAAACCCCGTGTCTGCTGCGCACGGCTCCACCTCCTGGACACCCAGCCTTCTTCACCTGCATGTCAGGCGCAGTTGGAAGGGAAGCCAATGTTGGGGCTGATACCCCAAACCCGGGCCTCTCCCTGCATGGGCCCTAGCCCACCTGGGGGCCAGGGGCATCTGCAGCCTCAGGTCTGGCCAGGAGCTGGGGTCCCCAGAGCCACCCACAAGTGGATGGAGCAAAGGTGGTGGTGGGCACCTGAACATGGCGATGAGCAGGTTCATGAGCAGCACGTTGGTGACCAGCAGGAACGTGACCAGCAGGAGGATGACCAGCCAGTTGGCGTAGAGGTTGGGGCAGGAGGGCGAGTTCTCCAGCAGCAGAGGATGTGCGGAGCAGTTCACGCGGGCTTCTGAAACCCCGGGGCAGTGAGGGCAAGCAGGCCGCCCCAGGCAAGCGCCCTTAGTATTCAGTGCCCTGGCCTGGAGTTGAGGCCTCCCTGGACAGAGGGTGCTGGTCAGGTGGCCAACTGTTGTGGTTCACTAGGGATGATCTGGGTTTTAGCACTGGAAGCCCCCTTCCCAGGACACCTCTCTCAGTCCGGGTGGACCAGACAGATGGTTGGCCTAGCAGTGCTGGTCCCGCTGCCTCCCACCGCCCGGCTGCAGCCACAGCCAGGACCACAGGCCCTGGGGGCAGAGCCAAGGACATTTTGGAGGGTGGGGGACAGAGGACCCCAGTTTCTACTGGCTGTTGCTTGGAATACAACCCTCAAAGGCTCTGCTCACAGCAGGTCTGGGGAGAGCTGGCCTAGGCGAGAGGAGCCGGTGTCTCCTGCAGGACTTCTCAGAGCCTTTATAACACTACTGCTTGTCAGTGGGCTTGAGCTGGCAGGCAAGTCTGCACCATTTCCAAAACATACTGAGCCAGGATGCCCTCCACCTGGTGATTGAGGCACTGTGGACACAACCCCCCTGGGCTGGGCAGGCCTGGAGAGCATTTTCTGCCAGGGAGTGAGCGTCTGATTGGGCAGCAGGGCAGGCCGAGGGCTCCCCAGGGGCCAGAGGAGCACAGCGCTCGCCACCCACCAGGCAGTTCCTATCCCACCTGCCTCTGCAGGGTCCAGACCAGCCCATGGCACAGGAAGGGACCTAGATGCAGAGTTCCCCCGTGTTTTCTCAGGATGGCTTGTGGCTCTCTGGGCCATGTGTGTGCGTGTCTGTGTGTTCACGCATGTGCACACACCCACACGCTGGACTGTTTCTGTGCCTGCCTCTCAGCCTTCGTGTGTGACTAAGTCCGGGGGCACCGGGGAGTCAGTCTCCATGTGCCTCTGTCCCGACCTGTGTGCCTGGGTGTTGGCTGGTGAGCCTGTTGCCGTGTGTCCATGTCTCCCTTTCTGGGGTGCCTCTCCCCTTTGCCCTGTGTTGCTGTGACAGGGTGGTCCACTGTGAGCTCTCGTGTGTGTGGATGGGGTTGGGCAGGCAGCATTGTTCGCCTCCTGCTTGGCCGTGGATCTGCTCCAGGCTGATTCAGGACCCTCTTAAGTTACCCTCAGTGCCCCAGGAGCTGGGCCGGAGCCAGGCCTAGAAAGCATGTTTGTAAAGCTGTAAATCTGATAAGATTGGCTCGGCAGTAGTAATGAGGCCCTGGGCCTCCCCCATGGTTCTTGCAGGCGCCGCCAGGCCAGGCTGGAGATTAAATTGTCCCTGGGGCCTGGGTTGCAGAAAAGGGGCTCTGCCATTGTGCTCAGCCCTGGGCCTCAGCGGTCTGCAGGTTGGGGGGCTGCCTGAGCCTCAGTTCCCCTCTTAGCCTGGGCATGTTAGTAAATTGCTGTCCTCACATGGTGTTTAGTAAGCAACTGGGACTGAACCCCAAGAGGCCTGAGTAGATGGGAGCTGAGCAGGGGGCAGAAGGCAAGGCGCAGCCTCAGCGAGCAGGCCTGTGGCTGGGAGCCGTGCCTCTGATGGGTAGGTAGGTAACAGGCCTGCAGCCTGGCAGGGCCACGCAAGGGGCAGAGGCCAGGCCGTGGGGCCAGCTGGAGCGTGTCGGACCCCAGGTGATGGCCAGGGACGGACTGGGATGGCCCTTGGTCTGTGTCCGCAGTGCCTGCCTGGCTCTCTGCCTGGCACAGACCACCCCAAAGCAAGGCTTGTCCCCCCACAGGAGGCCAGCCCTGTCCTCCTTGTGGCCTCATGTCTGTTCCTGGCCAGAGGTCGGGGCTCCATGGCTGACAGAAATGAGCCTGCAGCTGCCTGAGGAGTGGGCCTGGCTTGTGTGGGTTTGCAGGGCCCGGTGGCTGGCCTCAGGGACATCCCCAGTTCAGCCAGCTCCAGGCCAGTCTCACATGACCCCAAGAGGCCCCTCTTGAAGGCCACAGGTCCTGGTCTTATAAAAGAAACTTCTAGAAACTGGGCTCAATTTGACAGCACCCTGGGGTGGGAGTCCTACTCAGTGATGCAGAGGCCCCCCAGCCCGGCCCTGCGCTGACCGTCAATCTCGTCCAGCGGGATCTGTCCGAAGATCTGCAGGTAGGGCCGGTAGAGCACGCGGCGGAAGATCCACTCCAGGCGGCTGTCGTGAGGGTGCAGCAGCGCCTGCGTGGTCACGCCGTAGGCCAGGAGCCACACGCTCAGGAAGAAGAGGAAGAAGAAGATGTCCTTCATCTGACGGGGCAGGGAGAGGGCCATTAGCCGCTGCCTGCTGGGGGCCGTGTCTCGCCAGCCACGCCCCCAGCCCCGGTGGGGCTCACCATCCGCTCCACGACGATGATCTTGGGGCCCAGCTGCTTGTGGATGGCGAAGATGTGGATGAGCCTCAGCGTGAACACCATGAAGTCGAGCGCGAGGATGGCGCGGCCGGCCTCGAACGCCGAGGGCAGCATCCTGGGGGAGGACGGTGGCTGGAGCTCGGGGAGGGGGAGGGCTCCCTGGGACACACGGCCCGGGCGCTGGGAAGCCGGGACTCCGAGGCCCGCGGGCTCCATTCTGCAAGTGGCCCTGCCCCCAGCCCGCCTGACGCTGCTCCTGCAAGGCCTTCAGGCCCCCAGACCTGCAGGTGACACCTCCTGCGAACAGGAAGATGGCCATCATGTCACATTTGTTCCAGTTGTCCTCCACGTAGAGGGTGAGCTTCTTCAGCAGGTGTGTGTCCTCATCGGTGAAGAAGCCCTGGTAGAAGGCCAGAGGGTCCACTGCCAGCCGCCCTGGCTCCTGCCTCGGAGATGGCCCCGCCCACACCAGGCCAGGAGTGGCGGGCCAGGGCGGGGGCGGGGCCGCCACTGACCTGCCGGATCTCCTCCAGCACCAGTGTAAAGACCCAGAAGGAGAGCAGGACCTCGGGCCCTGATGGCCCCTGGGGAGGCGGCCGGAAGTCCACCAGCAGGGTGTAGGCGAACAGGAGGAGGAACGCAAAGTACATGACCACGTTCCCCAGGAACACGGTCACAGGCGCGCCCCAGAACTTCCGCCAGCGTGTGAGCAGGAAGGCGGCATGCGGCCCTCTGCCGCCCTGAGCCCTGGGTGCCTCGGCCAGCTTCTCCACCCTGTACCGCGGGGGAGGCCATGCCAGTGGTGAGGCGGGTGGCCGGGTGCCCCACGGGGCCCCACCTCTGCCCCCAGGAGTCCAGTCTCCGGGCCACAGGCACCAGAGCCCTGGGCCCTCCCACCTGCCCCTGCTGCACAGCTTGCTCCTCTCCGTGCCCAGGCTGTCCGGCTCCTGCAGGTCATCCGGGCCTGTTCCCAGTGGGCCCTCCTCACTGCAAGCACAGGGGCCCTCAGGGCCCGTGGGAAGGGTACTCCGAGGCGCCGCTTGGCCTCAAGCACCCAGCCACCAGAGGAAGTACAGGGCACAGGTGGGGTCAGCGCACAGCGGGGCTGCACAGATGCGGGACCTGAGGGGCTGCGGAGCCTGCTACCCCTGGCACACGAGAAGCCCTGGGCCCCCAAGCAGCCCAAGCAAGCCTGCTGCCATGGCCAGCGGACCTGAAGGTGATGAGGTTGGTGTAGATGAGGGCTGGGCAGAGGAAGGCGCCTAACAGCCGCAGGACGGGTGTGCCCGAGGCCATGTCCCCCCACCAGATCTTGGTCAGGAAGGCCTGAAATAAAGGCACGCCTTAGCCCAAGCTGCCCCGCCTCTGGAGCGCCTTCACCGGAAGAACCTCCGGGGGGGGGGGGGGCTGGCCTCAGGAAGTGGCACTGCCACTCCGAAAGTGTCCTTGTTGCACAGTGGCTGGTGGAGGACGCTGGGTTGTGCCTTCCAAGAAGAGTGTCCACCTCCTGTGCTCCAGACCCCGCTTGGCTGGGACTCAGCAGTGAAGGCGAGGCGGCTGCAGGCTAGCGGGAGGCAGGGGAGTCAGCTGAGGCACCTCCCCGAGGCCAGCGGCTCACCTGCACCCCATCATGGGCAAAGAAGGCCTTGGTGTCCGCCTCGGTGGCGAGGTGCAGACAGGTGGTCCTGCTCCAGCAGCGGTTCCGGCGCACCAGCAGGGTGAAGGCGTGGTCTTCGCTGTTGCTGTAGCACTCAGAGAAGAGGTCTGCCCGCGGGCACTGGCCGCTGCTTTGTGTGCCCGTGCCAGCCCCACTCCCTCCTCCTCTGCCCCGGGTCAGGCCCTGTAGGACCTGCTACTCTGCCCCATGCCCACCTTCCAGGGGGCCCGAGAGGCCTGGGAGGAGCCAGCCAGGTGAGTGTCATGTCCCTGCCTGGCCTGCCCATGGCCACTTCCGCCCCCATCAGGACCACGGGAGCCTCAGTCACCCCGATCATCCCCGCCCGTGCAGGGCCCAGTGTACACCCGAGGTGTGGGGCTGCCCTCATCCTCGTGGACTTGTCTGCCCCTCTGTTAGGATTTTAGGGCTCATCCCCCCACTGGGAGGAGCCACTGGCCCGCTGAAGCCACTGCAGACCCCACTGCACCAGTCAGCCTGACCGCCTGGCTGATCACTCACCGAGGGCCAGCTGCTCATATCTGGCCTCGCACGTGCGGCCCCTCTCGGCAGCCGTCTCCAGGTGGGACATCTCCTTGAGGATCTTGCAGGCGGCCAGAGCGGCGGCCACGCCCTCCTGGCCCTAGGACAGCGGTTCTGAGAAGCTTGCTCCCCCCCTGCCGCCCACGTGGCCTCTGTGCTGCTCACCATGGCCCAGAAGTAGCTGGCCATCTCATGGCGGCTCTGCAGCACGGCCCACAGGAACAGGTCCCTCCAGGGGGCCTCGCTCCTCTCGTCCAGGTCCAGCAGCTGTCTCCGGCCCTCGGGCTGCTTGGCCGGCCCGCTCTCCTGGAGGACAGGGTGTCAGCCTCCAGCTGCGGCCATCCCCTGCTCTCCCAGCCCGCCGCTCACCGCCTGGTAGAGCCCGTGGCAGGCGTCCTGCAGGAAGTCCTTGAGCACACGGGAGACCTCGAGCAGGGAGAAGGCGGGTGGCTCCCGGGCCTGTGGGGTAGCCAGGCCGGCCAGCACCAGCCGGCCCCCCTGGCGTTTGTGCTGCAGCAGCCCGAAGAGCAGGCCCTGGGGGGTCGTTGAGAGGTACAGCTGCTGCAGCCGCCGGTACGTCAGGAAGGCCGCCACGTTGGCGCCGTTGTCCACAAAGAGACGCACGAACTCCGGCTTGTTGCTCACCAGTGCATCCATCAGCACCTCCTCCAGGTCATGGGCCTAGGGCGGCCACAGGGACCGACCAGGAGAAGAGAAGGGGTGAGTGGGGGCCGGTGGAGAAGGGGCCCGTCTGCTTGGCGGTGGGTCCACAGCAAGTGGTAGCTCTCCAGCCCCATGAGGGAGGTGGCACCCCTGGAGTGCTGTGGCTTCCCTCAGTGACAGCCGGGCTGGAGTGGGCCCAGCCTGCAGCCCTCGGGACACCCCCCCCACCCGGGCCCTCCACATGCCCCTCGCCCTGTGTGGGCCAGAAGCAGGATTCAGGATGCGCCAGCTGGCTGGGCGGGCGGGCGGGCCACCTTCCACTCCACGTCCCCGCCGAAGATCTCACTCTCGGCGATGTCCACGCGGCCCCAGGCCATGGCCAGCCTGAGCTCGTCTAGGTAGTCCTGTGCTCGCTGGCTGTGGCTCTTGCAGGCTGTGGGTGGGGTGGGCAGGGGGGTTGAGGGCTTGGCACCCTCTCAATGGCTACCGGCGCAAGATGCCACATGCCCCCTAAGAGCCAATGTTGGGAGCCCCAGGGCCCCATGGGACAGTGGGGAGCAGGCTGGGGGAGGGTCTAGGACCCCTGTCCAGAGGAGCCTCCCCACACTGCCCCGTCCCACCGGCCTGGCCCTTTACATGTGCTCATCTCCAGTGAGAATGTGCACTGAGGGACAGCCATGAAGGGAGACAGCCCAGGTGCCCATCCACAGAGGCACAGAACACCGTGGGCACAGGGCAGCCACGAGCAGGGCAGAGGCTTGCACTCCCACACGGTGGCCCTCAGCAGCATCCGGTCAGTGAGAGAAGCCAGATACCAAAGGCCACCGACTCTAGTCACAGGAAATCCCCCCAGCTGGCAGATCCTCAGGGCAGGCTGGCGGCTGGCGGCTGGCGGGGGCTGGGGGAGGGGGGAATGAATGGGCGCCGGGTCTCCTTGAGGGGTGATGACAGCGTTCTGGAGTTAAAGTGCTGCTTGCAGGGCCTTGTGACTGTACTGAAACCACTGAATTCAACACTTTAAATGGTTTTTCAAACTGGTTAAATGTATCTAACCTAAAACTTCTAGTATCTGGACCGTCTGCTCACAGAGGCCGTAGCGCTCTCCCACCATATGTGCGCTGCTAAAGTGAGCATGGAGCCCTACACATGTGCTCACACCCACGCGGCGGAGTCCTGTCCTGGGCTTCCTGGCCCCTGACATCCTGCCTGGGTGGTGGTCCTGCCCCAGGTGCAGGACCCTGGAGGCTGAGACCCAGGCTGGGCAGGGCTTGGAAAGAGCCTCAATGCAGGCCCAGAGCCCTGGGTGGCCACCCTGCCTTGCCTGGTGCCCTCGGCAGGTCTCCCTGCGGGTGTGCGGCAAGGCCCTCACCTTTCACCAGCGCCTTGAGGATGACGGCCTCCAGCTCCTCGGAGCTGTCCTGTTCGAAGTCGTGTACGGTGAGCAGGTGTGGGTAGGAGGTGATGTTCTGCAGCTGTGGGCACAGGACAAGGGCCGTGAGGTGGCCCCATGGACGGGGTCCAGTACAGTGGGCAGGCTGCAGGCTCAGTGTGGGTGGAAGCAGAGCTGGGTGCCCTGTATGTGAGGCTGTGTCCCAGAGAGTAAGCCACCAGGTACACTGGCCACCAACAGGGCCCAGCACAGTGCCACCTGTGAACTTGGGGGGAGGGTTTGCTCTTATCCCTCTGCTCCGTGAGGGTCTGCAGCAAGAGCCAGCAGGGGGCCTGTGGCAAGAGGGCCTGGGCCTTCCAGGGAGCCCCGCCTGGGAGGAGGGGATCTGGAAGCCCGGGGGAGGGTGGCAGTGGGTGGGCAGCCCTGGCCTTTCTGACTGGGGCCTCTGGCATCTCATACCAGCTGGGTCCAGTACATGATGTCCTCCCAGGAGAAGTGCTGGCTGGGGAACTTCTCTTTAAACTGCCTTTCAGCCACTTGGGGCACCAGGAAGTGGGGCTGGCTCATCAGGGCAGCGAGCACATCGGCGATGCCCCCCGAGCCCGCCAGGATCAGCCACGGGGCAGCGTGCTGCTCCACAGCCCTGGATATCCTCTGGGGGTGGGGGCAGGGAGGACAGAGTGGACGCCCACTCAGCTCTGGGTTCCGCGCTGTGTCCATGAGTGGTGTCCCAGCCCTCCCACCTCCTCCCATCCAGGTGGGAGGGCCCTGCTGGAGCCCCCAGGTGGCCTGCCCTACCTCCAGGGTGCTGGGGTCGCCGTTGACCAGCAGACAGAGCACGGGGATCTCGATGCTGCCTGTGCCTGTGGATGGAGTGCCTGTGAGGCCCTCCCTGGGGGATGACCACCTAGGTCTCATTTTCTGGGCAAATGGCAGCCAAGAAGCCTTTTCTGGAGAAGTGTGGGCTCCGGGCTGCACACCCAGGGCCGTTTATCACAAGCCCTTTCACCCAGCGACAAGGACACCAAGCCACACCCCACCACCCCATACTGCTGCTGCGTGGCTATTTAAACTTAAAGTAACAAGTAGTCTGTGGCTGGCGGTCCCGGCACATTCCAAGGACTGGGCATCTGTTCCCCTTGAGGCGGAAGCGCTCTGGGCTGCACCTCTGGGCCAGCTGAGGCCCACGCACGAGCCAGACCACAGGCAGAGGAATGCCGCTGGCGGAGGTCTTCCCCAAGCAAACCAGAAATGAAACTTCCAGAATGTGAAGCCCTGACCTGGGGGTCTGCCATGTGGCAGGAGTTTTAGCAGATCGCCTGGTAGGGCCCCCTCAACCTCCCAAGGTGCCTCCTGACTGTACCTGGGGGACAGATCGGGTGCCTGGCCAGCCAGGCTTCAGCAACCCCGAGCAGCACATTGGACCTACTGAGGTTTAAACACGCCTTCCCCTGCGCTTTCATTTTTAAAGAATGCTCAGTTTATAAACACCGATATTGTTTATAAGTATCATAAGCAACTATGTATTGTGTGTGTTAGTTACATCCTAGTATCTGAGCAAACCCAGCTTCCAAACCCGCCCCCGCCCCAGTGGCGCCTGCCCCTTGCCAACACTGCCCCCTGGTGGCAGCATGCCTCATGGCCGCGGGAGGCAAATGGGCCTCTGGAAACAGGAATCTTTCCTCCCCAAGCCCTGACAGGTGTGCCCAGGTGGAACTAGGGCAGCTACAGCTGGAGCACCCACAGGTGCTCCGCCATCTGGCGGGGATGCCACTGCCTCCCAGGCTACCCCCTCAGCAGTGTCCCAACCACCCACTGCCGCCTCCCACACGGGGCCCCATATGGGCCCAGGTCTCAACACTCCCACACGCTCCGTGACTTCCTCTTGGAATCTCTTTTCCCACCCTTCCAGCCCTGGCCACCCCTACACACACACACACACACGCTGTGTCCCCCCACCTCCCTGGGACAGGCCTCACCCCCGTAGCCGGTCCTCTGCTCCGAGACGTGCTTCTCCAGCCTGAGCTGCAGCTCTGTCAGGCCGTCCCCCTGCCCTGGGGGGCCCGGCTGCACCAGGATGAAGTAGGCATGGTTGCTGTCCAGGGAGCAGGTGGGGCCCTGGCTGCCGCGCCCATGGGTCGGGTAGTGGATGGCGGGGCTGTCCTCCTGGGCCCCCACCCCGACACATTCACTGTGAGGCCGGGCACAGATGCCTCTGCCCAGGCTGCTCCCACCACAACGGGCAGACAGGGCCGGACTGCTGGGGGTGTGCAGGCGGCCCGGGACAGGCATGCGCAGGCAGGGGATCCTCTGGATAGAACCCGGCACTGGGAAAGGCTCCAGTTCTTACCAAGGGCCGCCTGCCTCCTCTGGACCCACCTTAGACAGACCCCAGGGTGGGAGCAACGGCTACAGGCCCAGGGACTCCCAGACGTGCAGGGCAGTGTTCAAGTTGGGACCTGGGTCCATTTGGGCACTGCTTTTGGGCAGGGCCTTGGAAAGCCCACGTCCCCATCCTAGATCTGCGCCTGTGCCCAGCAGGCTCCCACTCCGGACCCTAGGCAACGCTGTCACCTGCCGGCATGTGCTCCTGGGCCCACCTGCCCCACCTGGGCTCTGAGTCCTCATGCCCGCAGCCTTCCCTTACTGTCGATCCTTCAAAGTTCCTGCCTCACTCTCCCCAAGCCCGGGAGCCCCTGGGAAACCGCCGGTCTGCCCGCTGCTGGCCTGGCACATGGAGGGACTCAGGAGGTGTTTGCCTAGTGGCCAGCGGGTGGCGGTGGTGGCCAGCCTGTGAGACTCCCTCGGTGGCCCCTGCACTGTTCCTCTTCCCGGGGCCACGGCCCCTGCCTTGCCCAGGCCCACCTGCCTGGTGGCTGGGGTGCTCTGAGCTGGGTGCTCACCTGAGCATCGTCCAGAAGCTGGCGGTGCAGGACTCGGCCCAGGGAAGTGATGCCGATGGCCGCCACCCGGGCCTTGGAGGATGTGCTGGCCAGTGAGTGGTCACGCACAGCCTGCCCAATGTGCCGGGCAAGGCCCACGCGGAGTGCACTGGTCAGGATCCAGGCGCCTGTGGGATGGGGGCTCACTGTGCCAGGGGCCCCCACATCCTTCCCAGCGGGCTGCCTGCCTCCTCCCGTGGGCAGGGCATCTGCTGGGGGCCAGGCCGCCAGGTGCCAGAGCCCAGGAAAGTCTCCAGATTTTACAGCCTTGGCCCAGTGCGTGAGCCTTTTTCTTTGTAACAGGCGTCCTGTGTCAAGGGAGTTAAGAAACCCCACACCCCTGGCCTGAAAATGAAGCCCAGAACCTTGGTTCTGACCCTGACAGCTGGCTGCCCAGATCACCCCCTCAAGGCCAGCAGGGCAGCTTTTGGGGGCCACCTTGGGCAGTGGGACAAGGGCAATAGACACAGCTCCCTGTGAGCCCCACGAGCGGAGGACCAGACCCCTGTCCACAGGGTGGGCAGGGACTCTTCTGGGGGAGGCGCTGGGCAGGGGACCCTCAGCCCCTCTGCTGCTGACCCAGGGGCTGCTGCCCTTGCAGCATGTGGGGTGGCCTTGGGGCCCTGGGCCTGGGGCCTCACCCGTGCTCTGAGCTGCCTTCACCAGCCCCTTGCACAGGATGTCCCGCAGCCAGGACTTCATGGCAAAGGGCCGCTCCTCGCCCACCAGGGACACCACGAGGTTGGGGGCAGGCAGGTGCCACTCCGCCAGCAGGAGGTTGAAGAGCTGGGAGGGGGCCACGCTGCTTGGCACCTTCACAAACTGCAGGCAGGGCAGCCTCAGGGCGCTGGGCATGGGCGGCACTGGGCATGGGGGATTTGGGGCATGGGGAGCCCTGGACCCTGGCGGGTGGGGGCAGACACCAGGAGGAGAAAGGCCTGAGACCCTTCTGGGCACACGGCCAGGCAGAAGACCAGGGCTTAGCAAGTCCTGCCATGACCTGCGGTGTGACTCAGTTTCTCCTGCCTCCCGTCTGGGTCTGGCTTCCTCCTCGGTGAGAAGCAGAGGCCGGATAGAGGAGGGATCCGGGATGTGCCGTGCACGGGGTGAGGAGGCCAGGGCCAGACGGCATTGCCAGCTGTGGAGTTTTGCCCACCTGGGGGCTCTGAACACGGCCCTGAGAGCAGCCCCGGGGGTATGTGGGCACCCGGTGCTCGGTGCACAGGGGCAGAAATGGGGGCTTGGGCTCCAGTGAGCACACGGTGGCCAGACGCTGGGCGTGGGGACCAGCCCCATGTCAGGCCGGGCGAGGGCAGGGCAGCCCCTTACCTTACCTCTCCTCTTCCCAGACCCTCCAAAGTCAATCTCGCCCCAGCTCAGGCCCAGCCCCCGCCTGTCCCCGGCAGCCCCAGCATCCTGCATGGGGACCTCTCTGCAAGGACAGAGACAACCCTGAGGGCAGGAGAGGAGACCTGGGCCTCCCTCCCTGCCTGGGGCTGGGGGTGTCTTCACTAGGGAAGCCCCTCCCCCCTGCACAGGAACTGGCAGAGATCTGGGTCCACAGAGTGGAGAGGGGGGCCGTCTCTGACCCCGTGGCCTTCCTGCCTAAAGCCCCACCATTCCAGCCTCATCTCCCCCCGTGGGCAGTTCCCCCTGCCCCCGTTCCACATCAGCTGCCAGCCTCCTGCACAGCCTGACCCCCTTCCTGGTGAGGAGGGGCGATCTTGGCCCCTGTGCCAGGCTCCCGGGCTTGCTTCTCACCCCATCCCTGGAGCCTCAGGCCAGCCACGCCCTTCACCACTTCTGCGCTGGCTTTGGCTGGGTGTGTCCTGGAACCAGAAAGACGGTGGGAATCTGGTAGCCTTCCAGACACCAGCCCACTGCCCTACACCCCCTGGGCCCCAGGACAGAGATGGGCACCCTGGGTGGGTCTGAGCAGAGAAGGCCAGGCCAGTGTGCACAGCTGGGTGCAAGGGCCCTGGGAAGGTGGGGTAGAAGGAGGAACCACCCCTTCTTGCCCAGGTGGGCCCAGAGGTCCTGGAGGAAAGGCCCTCGCGCCCTACCCTGCCCAAGGGCTCTTCCCAAGATCCTGCCTCACCCCTGCCGAGCGCCAGGCTCAGTGCCCAGTGCTGGGCCCACATTACCTCCCTGGGGCCCTGTAGGGTCAGGCAGGTGAGCCCCACCCCACCCAGCAGGAACCAGGGCTGGGGGCCCAGGACTGGCCCGAGTGACAAGGAGCTGGGTCCCCTCAGACTGCCCTACTGCAAGCACCCCAAGTCTCCCAGCCACCCAGGAGGGCCAGCTTGCCTCTGTGGTTTTTTCTGCAAACTCAGCTGGGGGCACAAGGCTGCACAAGGAAGGAAGTCTCCCCAGAGCCCCCGAGGCCTGAGGTCTGGGGGACCCAGAGGCCCTCCCCTTGACACCCGCATCCGACCGAGGGTGTCAGCAGGCCCCCTTCCTGCTGAGCTAGTGTCGCAGTGCCCCGCAGTCAGCCCCCCAGCTCTCCCGGCCACCAGAGGGACCCTCAGTGAGAGATGCAGTCCTCCTGTGAAGCCCTTTCTGCAGGCGGCTCCCTGCTCAGGGCACCCCTTTGCTTCTCAGAGAGGGGCCGCCTGTGTAGACAGGAGGGGCCAGCAGGCAGTGGGCAGGGCACCTGCAGGCACACAGGTGCCTGTGTGCTCTCGGGGCCCCACGTGTCCCTCAGAAATGCTGCCCAAGTCCTGGCTCCTGTGCCTGCGCTGGGGCCTACTGTGGAAACGGGCTCTTTGCAGATGTGTCCAAGCCCAGAGGAGGTCATTAGGGTGGACCTGATCCGTGATTGGTGCCCTTCTAAGGAAAGGGAGCAGGCCATGGGACCGCAGGGGCAGAGGCTGGAGGGACATGGCCACACTCCCAGGGTGCCTGGAGCCCCCAAAGGTGGAGGAGGCGGGAAGGGCCCTCCTGGCATCTTCAGAGGGATTCCAGCCCTGCTACACCTTGATTTGGGGGTTCTGGACTCCAGGGCATAAACTCCTGTTGCTTTAAGACACCCATTCTGTGGTCACTCATTCCAGCCTCCCCCAGCCCCTCAGTCACCCGCACAGAGCAGACCCAGCCAGGCTGGCCGAGGCCTGGGGGTCGGGGTGGGGTGCCGAGCCTGGCAGCTCCCCACCCCCAGAGCAGGAACTTGGCACCAAGGGGCCTCGAGGGGCAGATCTGAATCTGGCCTTTCCAAGCTGGTGATTATTGGTTCCCAACCAGAGCTGGTGTTTGGGGACAAGGCCTGGTGTTGGGGGCGACGGGGCTGGTGTGGAGTGTCCTGGGGCAGCTGGAACCAGGGGGTTGGCACAGTGGGAACTGATTGCCTCAGCCTGGAGGCTGGAAGCCTAAAATCGAGGTGTGGCTGGGCTGGCTTCCCCAGAGGCTGCAGGGAAGGGCCCTGCCCGCCTCTTCGGCTCTGGGCTCCAGGGGTCCCTGGCTCACAGCCACGCCCCCCAGCCTCTGCCCCCAGCTCCACACGGCCCCTCCTCGGTATCTCTCTGTGCGTGTCCCTCCTATGGGAATGCCAGTCCCTGTTCCACTGTGACCTTATCTTAGCCATGTGCGTCAGCAAAGACCTTATTTCCAAGTAAGTCACATCTGAAGTTCTGGGAGGATGTGAATTTTGAGGGACACTATTCAGCCCCAAAGTACAGACAGCGAGAGGGGTCGTGGGGGGGGCCACCATGCTGGGCCAGGGAAGGGGGACCCAGTGGGGAGGGCAGTGGGCTGCCCGTGCCTAGGCAGAGGGCCCTCTGGTGTCCCTGGCCCCTGGAGGCCCTCCTCCCATCAGGCTCCTCCTCACAGACAGGACAGGCGCCTGAGCTGGAGTTTGCAGCACCAGCTTCACCTTCCCCGGAGCCACACACACCGCCCCACACACCTCAGGCCTGGGGCCAACGGGGCATTTGGGCACTGTGTCAGGTGCTAGGCAAATAGGCCGAGTGGGACAGGCATGCAAATGGGCAGGATTTGAATGAGCAAGTGTCTTTAATGCCCCCTTGTTCTCGGGGTGGTGGGGGAGGCGGGGCCGCTGGGAGGTCCTACGTGACCCCTCATGGAGTCCTATCCCACCGCCTCTGAGAGGGAAGCAGGCAGATCTTCAGCCACAGAGGTAAAGGCACTGGGGACTGGCCTGGGGGGCAGACAGCCATGCCCTTGTCAGAGGTCAGCAGGGCAACAGCCCCAAGGGGGGCGGAGCCAGGGAGCCAGGGCACAGGGGGCCCAGCCCTCCCTCCCCAGCCGTGTGACCCTGGGCGAGGCCCCATACCCTCAGAGCCCATCCCCTCCTCCATGAGACTCGGGGTACAGCAGTGGGGGGGGCATCGACGAGTCCCACACTGCATTCAGTAGGCCGGCACCCAGCGCTGTGGCTCCTGCCCCAGTGAGGACGCTGGGCTCCCTGGGCCAGGTGGAGGGCAGGGACAGGGAGGGCTTGGCAACGGGCACAGCTTCCCTCTCGCTGCCCCTCGCACTTGCCAGCCTGCCCACCCACAGTCCAGGGCCCACTGGCCATGGGTGTGGGAGGAGGAACAGCCCCTAACAAACACCCCGCCTCACCTGTACAGGGGGCTCCCTCTGCAGCCCCAGGAAGGCAGAATTCTCCCCAGGCTAGGGTCCAGGAAACCGAGGTGGGAGGCAGGGATGGGGCCGGAGCACCTCCCCTCAGGCCCCCTCCACTCCTGCCCGCCTGGGGGCTGGCGGCTCAGGGCGCCTACCTGCCCGCTCTCCCCTGGGTGCTCTGCCGTGCAGTGCCAAGGAGCAGTGTGGGGGCTGCCTACTGCTCACGCCGCCTGCCCTCCTGCCCGCTCCTCCCCTCCCACCTCGCCTGGCACAGGGCGCCACCCAGTCTCAGCACAGCCAGGCCCACAGGCCTGCTCTGGGCAAAGCCGCTGGTCGCCGAGGGCCAGCCTCCCTGCCCCCACCACCTGATTGGCCCGGCAGCCCCTTGGGCATGTCTAGGTGGCCGCCTTGCTTGCCCCTATCACCTCCATGGGCTATGCCCGGGCGTCGCCCTGACATGTCTGTTTCCCACAGGGCCCCTGTTTCCCCCACAAGCAGGCCCTGGCCCCTGCCCTCCTGGGGTCCTGCAGGACTGAGAGGCATTGGGCCCTGGGGCGCGCCGGGCTGCCCTGCACAGGTAGTGCGGCTTGAGCACTGACCTTGCACCCAGGGGCCGCCCTGGGCTCCCACCCTGCACACCCTTCAGGTGCCCTCCCCACCCGGGGCTTGCTTCTCTGAAAAATGAGGATCGAATGGCCTGGCTTCTGCGACCTCGCAGGTAACACACTCGTAGAACAGAGCCTGGATACTTCTTCGTGCTCCTTCCCCAGAGAGACCCCCAGGACTCCCTCCCAGGTACCCCTCTCTGGGGCCCTGAGCGCCAGGAGGGCTGGGGACGCATCCAGGCCCTGCCTTCTGGGATTCCTGGCAGCCTTGCAAGTCAGCCCATTGGCCACCAGAGGGCGCCCCAGGACCATGGGCAGAGCCTGGGATGGTGGCGGTGGTCCGGGGGCGGATGCCAGCTCTATGGCCCACTGAGGGTTCAGTCCTGGGCTGGGCAGGGTCCCGAGGCTTTGTCTGGAGCCCACCCACAAGGCTGTCTGAGGCCCTTAGGAAATACTGGGCTCCAGGATGGGGACCCCACATGTTCTTGAGGCCTGAGACCCTGTGGGCCAGGTTCTGAGGTGGACGGGCCCATCTTGGGGACCCTGGGCACAGGGTCAGACCCTAGTCTTGGCAACATGGAGCCCACAGGGCCACACACCCAACTCCAAAAGACCAGGGAGGACGATGAGAGGGGGAGGGTCTTCCCAGACCCTCTGAGCCTCTGGCGGTGGAGGCCCCTCCCACCCTCTTTTCCGGTCCTGCCCTTCTACCCTGGCCACCCTAGGCCAGCACCAGGCCATGCTCTTCCCACTGTCTACCACCCTCCAGGGCTCCCTATTACCCCAAGAATAAAAGGCAGTCA